CAACATCTACTCGTACAAATAAAAAAATAGCCATACACGTATTTTTTTAGATGAAGAACAAAGTATTTTTTTCGATGGTCAATCATTCGTGACGTTTAATTCATTTACACTAATTGCATAAAGGTTTGGTAACGCTTGACTGAATTTACTTTCTGTGTGTCCATTTGAAATCATTCTTTGAGGTGTGCACGTGTATATTTTGGGGACTTCATGTTGATTGAACAAAACAGGAACATATTTACATATGTACAGATCAAAGATGAAAAACGAGAGGAATTTTTGGTACAATTTTTGATACAATTTTTGTAATTTTGCATAGTATATACATAATATATATATATATATATATATATATATATATATATATATATATATATATATATATACACTCACACACACAAATATATATATATATATATATATATATATATATATATATATATATATATGTATGTACCAGGGTGTAACAGCAAAATTGTCCAAATCGTGTAACAGCAAAATTGTCCGATTGTTAGATTAAGCTTCGACTTCTGCATCTTAGAAATGATTAAAGATATCTTACTGGAATTCTCCAAGGTTTTTATAACATCGGACATTACTTGGGACAATAAGAATATATTTAGCTCCAAGTTGAAATGATGATCCCTCTTCCTGTTGTGACCTCCTGATCCAGTTTTCCTCCTTACTGTTCCCTCTTGTTTAAACATTCACCGTTCTCTTGATGGTTCTTGAATGGACTTTGAAGCTGGAAGCCAGAGTATGAATATTGGTACCATTACTGAAGGCCAAAATGATCTTTTTTCTCTCACCATTGCTCAGTTGAGAAGACAGTGGGTCTTACGCAAAACGATTTTAAACTGTTCTTTCTAGCTGTATTACTGAATAAGAGTTTTTCAGTGATTCTTGCAACAAATGGTGTCAACATGACTAAATGTCTTATCTGAAAACCTGGGGAAATAGAACTCGATTAGATCAGTGTTTCTTTAAATATTAAATCTTTTGTGTTGTGTGTTTTCCATTGATTAAGCAGACCTCACGTCTATCTGTCTTGTGAAACAGTTTCCGTGTGTGTAATTCATGTGTGTGTGTCATAGTATTAGTCTGTCTGTGTAAGATTAGGATGTTAATATGTATGTGTTTGTGTGCGTCTAGTGGGAATTTTTTATCCAAGTTCTGTAGTTGCCCGGATGTGAATTTGAGAACGTTTTGTATGATAGTGAAAAGAATTTAAGTTGTGTTTGTAAATAGAAATATCTTAGATTTTAAAGAATCTAAGATATTTCTATTTACATTTATTTATATTTGGATTTTTAAAAAATAAAAGTTGGTGATATAAATTGTGTCTGACGTGTGTTTATAGATGGCAAAATATTTCTTAGAAATTCCTCTAATATTTCCTGCGTAATGAATTATTTCCTTTTCTAATGAGACCGCATTTATAAAAGTTATGTTTTGCTTCTGTGAGCGAGTTTAAAGGGATACCTCAACGCAGCGTTCTCTTACGTTCGTAGATGCGGGCTTCAGTTTTTTAGATGTTTCACCAACGTAGCTTTACCCACATTGCAGACAATTATGTCATAAAACATGACGTCTGATGTAGTGTTGGATTTTTTCCTTCCTAGCTATATCTCTGATTGTCTTGGACGTGGTCGTAAAGACAATTCGAGGATAATGTTTTTGAATTTTTGTTAATATAGTGTTGGAGGGTAGGATTATGAAATTCGTCTTTTTGTTATCGTCAGTGCCTGTGTTATCGGTGACAATGACAACTTTTTTAGTCACAAGTCCCCAAAAGTAGACATTCCATACCACATTCCAAGCGAATCAACTAATAGAAGACAGTGATACCGCCTTTCCTCTCGAGGTCAATGTACCGATGATGAGTGGGTGGGAATGCCGACAACATTGGTATTCATAGTTGGGATAAGAATGATCTTGAACAGAAAATCAACATCCTCTATCAAGTGTTCTAAGAAATAGGACTCAAAATAAACCTTTCCAAAAGAGAAACAATGATCTGGAATTGGAATTAAAAGAATGATGGCAATCACCAAAATAAAAACATCCTCTATCAAGTGTTCTAAGAAATAGGACTCAAAAAAAACTTTTTTTTCAAAAAGAGAAACTATAATCTGAATTGGAATGAAAACGGTGATGGCATCGACCCTGAATTCATCCTATATCAAGTGTTCTAAGAAATAGGACTCAAAATAAACCTTTTAAAACAGAAAATGTGATCTGGAATTGCAATGAAAGCAGTGATGGAACCTACACTGAATCCATCAAAATTCAGAATAGAATTAGCAAATACTAAACACTTCAAATTCTTTTGTGTATGGGTCTGTTAATATTAAGAGAAAACAGCGTGCTGGCAAGAGTAATAAGGCAAAGTAACAATAATAAGGTAAAACAAGAGTAATATGGCAAAGCAATAATAATAAGGCAAAGTAACAGCAATAAGGCAAAACAACAATAATAAGTCAAAGCAACGATAATAAAACAAAGTAAGAGTAATAAGACAAAACAACAATAATAAGGCAAAGTAACAATAATAAGGCGAAAAGTTCGCAAACTAAGAATTGGGGTTGATAAACAATGCGGTTTCGTTTTGACTTCAAAGGTAAAACAGACCGGGACTGAGTCAGATGAGACCAAGAAGTGACTTATTGAATAGGAAGAAATCCTAGAATGCATTTATGGGATCCTGCGTATAAATTGGGGAGGAGAATTATTTTGCAGTTATTCCTAATTAGATGTGAAACTTTAATATTATGGGTGTTTTATTAGAATCCTTGTGAATCTGTGGTGAATGTCAGATCGCCCATTTCCCAGTCCGGCCTTGTGCCAAATGCAAATGTAATTTTTACAAAATAAACATTTCCAATTTGAATTGGAACCAAGAATTTATCACTAATCTATACACCTGAGTAAACTAAAATCGGACCTATCTCTAAAATTTTGACTGTCTACCGTTTTTAATTTCGTGCAAATCGGACCTACCGTGTATAACAGCAAAATTTTCCAAATCTTGTAACAGATTAATTGCCCCTGTCTCAAACTGTTTAATATCTAAAAAGCTACTAAACTAATTGAGTTTCTTTTTTCAAAGATTTCAGATAAGACGATTAGGCATCTTGACACCATTTGTCGTAAGCATCACTGTCAGCTAGAAAGAGAACAGGTTAACTGAGCAATAGTGAGGGGAAAAAGATCATTTAGGCCTTCAGTAATGGTACCAACATTCATACTCTGGCTTCCATCTTCAAAGTCTATTTTAAGTTTAAAAAAGAGGGGACAGTAGAGAGGAAAACTGGATTAGGGGCTCATCCCAGGAAGAAGGCTTATCATTTCAACCTGTAGCTAAATAAATCAATTTGAAATGATCCAACTCAATCGATAAGACGTTTGACACATATGAGAGGGTTTTCAGCTGTGACAGTCCAAAGAGCAGTAAAATAGACTTGAAAATGAAATCGTACGTGAAAATTTTGAGGCACAGGACAGAAAGTTAGACGGTTAGAGAGGGCGAAGATCACCTTGAATAAGTTTAAAAAAGAGGAAGCAGTAGAGAGAAAAACTGGACCAGGAGGTCACAACAGCAAGAGGAATCATCATTTCAACTTAGAGCTAAATACAGTCTTATTGTTCAAAGTATTCAATAGTGTTATAAAACCTCGGAGAATTCCAGTAAGATATCTTTAATCATTTCTAGGATACAACAGTTCAAATCTTAATCTAACATTTGGACAATTTGGCTATTCAACCCGGTATGTCTGCTTTTTACAATTTCGTGGAAACAGAATCTATGTCTACCATTTAATTTAGTGTAAGCTGGGCCGATGTCTACCTTTTTTTAATTTCGCGTAAACCGGACCTATGTCTACCATTTAATTTAATGTAAGCTGTCCCGATGTCTACCATTTTTTTTTAATTTCGTGTAAACCGAACATATGTCTACCATCTAATTTAGCTGGCCCGATGTCTACTCACTATGCCAGAACTCACTATGAACCATTTAAAAAAAAATTCTTTTGATTCACAGACTTGTTTCGTATATAAGAGAACAATCACACGATATATATATATATATATATATATATATATATATATATATATATATATATAAATGGACAAAGTCCAACAATTATTGTCGGACTATGTCTATTTCGTAATGTGTGACGTCATTTCTCTACATTTGTGTACGCATCGAGCAGATATGAATGTACGAGAAAAAACCATGGAGAATTGTAATTTAAAAACAGTAAAATCGAACCGAACGCAACTCTGTGGCCGAATCGGTAAAGGCACGTGAAGCTAAATGACGGTTCAGTATAGGATACAGGTTCGAATCCTGTCGGAGGACGAATATTTTCTGTGAAAATTTCTCGGACATTTATTATAAACAGAGCATTTACTTAAATATTTGTATCTATAAAAAGAAAATATAAACATAAAAATGTTTTTATATATATATATAGGGTTAGGCAAAAATCGCGCACCATACGGATAATTTATTAAAAGAATAATTACACATGAAAATTTTATTTCGTTGTTATTTAATTGTTATATGATCTTTTCAAAATATCCTCCTCTTTTTACAAAACACATTTCAATTCTGTGCCTTCACGATTCATTCAAACGTCATTTTATTGCCTTCATATTTAATTCTGTCTCAATATTTGTTGGGCGAATCTGATAAACAACTGACAGTAATGAGAATTTGACAGTAATGAACAGGCTGGTCGACTGTTCCCCCAAGGCCTTCTCTCATACTAATCTTATAGTAGGCGGAAGAGTCCAGGGTGTGAGCTCTAAAGGTATAATTGTTTTTATTTATAGATGGTTGTTTTTGTTGTATGAGTATTGCATCAAGGATAATGAATGTTTTGAGTATTTGATTTTACTAGTATTTTTGTATTGTTGGTGAGTAGCTGGTTAAACTTACAATGGTTCCTATGCTGTTAATTAATGTGTTGCCTGATGGCACTCTAGTCAGATAGATGGCAAGCGGGTCCCCGTTCGTAGGTATGCGGTTGTGATATTTATACCGTCATCCACAGACAGATTGTTTCACTGAATCACAGCTCGTCAGTGTAGCTAGACATCTGATCGCTTCAAGCCTGGACCGAAACCCGATATGGCATCAGTCGGAGATTCTAACCCCGAGGCTATCAGCGCCCAGCAGAGAGAAAAGCGAAGCTTTTACGTATTTATTTTTTCAAAGACATGCCAGTGACCTAGAGAACTCAATCGATTGGGAGAGTCTTACATTATTAGCAGTAATAGGCATTGTTTACAAATTCGAACTTTCTTCCCCGCAGTGCTTGACTGAATTTCTTTTCGAATATATATATATATATATATATATATATATATATATATATATATATATATATATATATAGGGATGTCATTTCTAACGGTTTTACTGGAAAATCATGTATCGAATATATATATATATTTACAAACACATCTATATATGATCTCTTATATAATGTTTGTTTCTTTTGGACGATAATAATTGCTTCGAAAATGTTGATTCTTTTGTTGATTTCGGGTGTTATCGATTAAAGTTTATCTACAGATGTAACAGTTATCTATCTATCTATCTATCTATCTATCTATCTATGTCTGTTCACTTTATATCCCACTCTGTTATCTATCTATCTATCTATCTATCTATCTATCTATCTATCTATCTATGTCTGTTCATATCTATCTATCTATCTATCTTGGTCTGTTCATATCTATCTATCTATCTATCTATCTATCTATCTATGTTTCTATCTATCTATCTATCTATCTATCTATCTATCTATCTATGTCTATTCACTTTATATCCCACTGTTATCTATCTATCTATCTATCTATCTATCTATCTATCTATGTCTGTTCATATCTATCTATCTATCTATCTTGGTCTGTTCATATCTATCTATCTATCTATCTATCTATCTATCTATGTCTATTCACTTTATATCCCACTGTTATCTATCTATCTTGGTCTGTTCATATCTATCTATCTATCTATCTATCTCTGTCGTTTCTGTATCTATCTATCTATCTATCTCTGCCGTTTCTGTATCTATCTATCTATCTATCTATCTATCTATCTATCTATCTATCTATCTATGCAACTGGTATATGTATGCGTGTTCACGCGCATCTTTCTCTGTGCGCACGTGTGCATGTGTGTGCCTGTGTGTGCCTGTGTGTTTGCGTGTGTGTCTTTGTGTGTGTGTCGGTGCCGGTAGCTATCTAAGTAATTATTTCCATTCGTGTGTTTATATATATACTGTTCGTTTCGTTCACTTTTTGATTCATCAACCCTTCTCTGACCTCGCCCCCACTGACCCTCCGCACCCGTCCCCAACCGCCCCCCCTATTTTTACCTCGACATTTCTCTAAGTTTTTTCTTTCTCAAACCTTCCCACTTCCCCCGGCTTACACCCCGACCACCGTAGCCGGCATTCCACCCCTTGGAAAGCGTAAGAAGCGTGTGAAGAGTCGGAGGGCTGTTAGGTGTCGGGGTGGAGAAGTCAGTAAAGGAAACACGGTGTGAGTGCGTGTGTTTGGGGGGGGGGACAATGTTGTATACCTCTTTCGAAGCAGTAACACGTACGTCGATTTCTGGCACTCATGAAAGGCAAATGAATTGGATAGGCAGTGTGCGATGGATAAATTGTCGCCTACATGACGCCAAAATGAAAATAACACTGGCACCTCATTTTAACAGATATACAGGGTGCGATGGATAAATTGTCGCCTAAACGCCGCCAAAATAACACTGGCATCTCATTTTAACATATACAAGGTGCGATGGATAAATTGTCGCCTAAATACCGTCAAAATAACAACCTCATCTTAACGGATATACAGGGTGCGATGGATAAATTGTCGCTTAAATGACGCCAAAATGAAAATAACGCTGGCATCTCATTTTAAAACAGATATATTTACCAAAATTTCCCGCAAAATATCTCGGTATACTAAAAAGAGTATATTTATTCAGTAAAACCGCTATTGGCTTTAACCATGGCCTCAAGACAACTTCGGAATCTCCTGCAACTCTTCTGGACGGTCTCCTTGTTTAATTTGGTGAATACTGGCATAATCCTTGTCTTCAGTTCGTCTTTGGTGTTACAATGAGTTTTGTTGGTCTCTCACTCAACTGCGCCCCACATATAGTAAACAAGGGGGCTGCTGTCTGTGGAGTTAGGTGGCCAGATGTAAGGGCTGCTGTGGTTGCAGACATTATCTGACAGTCATGACTGTGTTCTTCTTGTGTGGAATGGTGCAGAGTCGTCTTGCCTGACACAGGGACTTCCAGCAGATACCCTCTTGACCTAGGGCAGTACTACCACCTCAAGGCACTTGATGTAGGCCTCCGGGTTGACCCTGAGGCCCTCACCAACAAATTCAGGAGTTCTTTTCTTATCAGAACACTCAGAGTGATTTTTCCGAGCTCTCGTACCTTCTTAATCACCATTAAACTCATCCAACCCTTTCGAAATCCTCTTCACTGTATTCAGATTGACATCCAGACACTCTGAAATGTTTGTATTGGAGGTTCCGGTGCCAATGACACGCAGTACAGCACGCCGTTTCCAAATTTCTAGAGGGTGAATTACGTCGTGGTGCACTTTTTCTCACAGACGTTGCCCAACTGACCCTACTATACTCTGCAGTCGACAAAATCAAAAGCAAAAAACGCACATGCACGAAATTAAAAATATGAAATGGCGACAATTTGCCCATCACACCCTGTATACATGCCACTATTAAAAGCTAAGTTTTAAAATGTATTTTCATAATGAAAAGCCTTTCTTGAAGCTTCTATTTTAGTTTTAATTCCATGTTAATCGATAAAATTTAATATTTTTTAAAGCAAATGTAATATATATATATAACGGGCGCAATCATAAAATTGTCCATTCATTAAGCTTTGAACCGGTGTACCTTAGAAATGATTAAAGATATCTTACTGGAATTCTCCGAGGTTTTCATAATACTATTAGACTCTACTTTGAGTAATAAGAATGTATAATTACTCTCCAAGCTTAACAGAAGAATCGTAATGAAATCGATCATAAACGAAAATGACATATTCATCAACAATTTCCAACGTATTCAAGATGACCTTCGCCCTCTCTAACCTTCTAAATTTCTGTTCTGGAGTAACAAGGGGCCTCACACGGTTCACGCACGATTTCATTTTCAAGTCTTTTTTCATTGCTTTTTGGACTGTCATAGCTGAAACTCCTCTCTCACATGCCCAACGTCTTATGGATTGAGTTGGATCTTTTCTAATTGATCTCTTTAGCTCTGACGAAAATTGCTACGCAACCAAAACATTAACCTGAAAACTCAAGTAATGTTCTTAAATAGCCTCGTCTGATCGATTCTCTCAAATAAATGTCATTTATGGCGCCAAACTCGTTCAGAATTATCTAAACTGTCAGCTGTATATAAGCGATCAACGGTCAAAAAGTCTTTGAGCGAGTGAAGTTTGAGGGTCTTCGCAAAGATCATCCTTCTTTGAACATTGTAGACTGGCGCTACACAATCACAAACAAAGAAACTACACCAGTTGAGGACTACTAACAACTAAAAAGAGAAAATAATGACATAATCATGATGTTAGCGTTCCACACCACTTCAAACAAAAGGTTAGGAAGGAAACTCACCCTCAATCCTGGAAAGAGCGATAACAGCTACTGGACTTGAGAAACATTTAGAAAAGTGTTTTAAGAAAAAATTTTGAAAATTTCAAATGAAAACAGTTCTGCCAAATGTTTCCTTATAGGGAAACGGTTGCTATTACACTTACCATTACTATTTGGTTTTACCCTTTAAGGATAACATAAACGATTTTGACGATAAAACTTAGTTTTTGTGAAGTTTGGGGTACATATATTCAAAAATATTATTTTTCTTAAGACAATAATGTCCTTAATATATTTTATTCATAAAAGCAATAAAAAGCTTTTCTAATAAAATAATGTTTTAGTTTTATTGCATTTTTGTTATTTTACGATTCAGAGCAGATTTTCGATAAATAGCGTCCCTGATTTACAAAAAGAAATTGTTGAAATTCTCCAAGGAGTTTTACTTTTATATAATAATATATTATAATTATTAATTATTATAATTATTACTTATATATTATATAATATATAATTATTAATTATATAATATAATCATTAAGTGCCACAGAATTTAATTTCTCTAAATTTCATAAAATTAAATATCTGTGTGGTAACAGATGTAAAAAGCTAATTTACCAAGATTTCCTTAAGAAGCATTTCGAAAATAATTTGATTTGTGAATAAGTCTTGAAAGTTTTATTAAAGTCCGACAAGTATTCGATTTTTGAAAGAATTTATGTTTTTTTTTTTTTTTGACGATAAACATTGTTTTTTCATGAAGTTTTGAGAATCTATTCATTATAGTATGCTAATTTTTTAAGGAATCTTTGGAGGTACTTAAATTTGAAATCCTTAGGAGTCGACAGGCCTGATCTGTTGGTCGAAAAGTCGAATCCCGAAGATCTATCTATCTATCTATCTATCTATCTATCTATCTATCTATCTATCTCAGTCTGTTCATATCTATCAATCCTGCTCAGTATATTCATTATCTATCTATCTATCTATCTATCTATCTATCTATCTATCTATCTATTCCCACTCTTCTATCTATCTATCTATCTATCTACCTATCTATCTACCAACGGTTATTGATATCCATTCAATAATCTAACCCGAAGTTAGTGCAACACCCAGAAATGACCACATTCACGGCACAGACGTAATGGCCTTCCCCACAAGCTTGCTTCAGAATTCTCTATAGGAGTTGCCCCCAAAATCCAACAAGCTTAGAGCCTAGACTGGTGCATGCCTACAAAATCGAGCGACGATCTTGCACGAGACTGCTCTACAGGAGGCACCTGAGTGGAAATCATTATTTCGTTAATAATGTGTGCGGTGAGACAAATGAACGAGTCACAGTTTGAGATGGATGAAAAGAGAGAAACGTAATTATGGCGATAAAAAGACATTGGATAATGCGTTAAATCAAAGCTTTTCTTTTATCATGAAACGAAAGAAACTTCCATCCATCGTATAAACAAGACGATTGCCCACGTTTCCCAGTTTTTCACTAGCGCTTCGTGAAGCGTAAGCCAGGGAAGAAGAAGAACACCATGCAAATATTTGGCTTTCAGCTGTTCATACTTGACTTTCGTTTCCTCAAATTATTCAAAAGGGAACGAGGCCAGCGTTGTCATATATATATATATATATATATATATATATATATATATATATGACTTGATAAGACACCGGGGGTGTTGAAACAAAATGGCTATTTTTGTAGTGATTTTATAACATATTTATGTTATAATTTTTTAAAAATAATTATATATATATATATATATATATATATATATATATATATATATATATAATTTTTTTTAAATAAATATATATATATATATATATATATATATATATATTGTTAAATATAACAGATATACAAAAATTCAAAATACTTTTTAAGATATTAATGTTTGAAGATTTTTACTAAGCTCTTCAACTTATGATTAGTAAATATAGTTTTCACTTAATATCACCTAACCGGATGAAAGTAATGGAGAAATTTAAAGTATTTAAAACTTTAGTATCTGTCTATATTTCTGAGATGAGGTATTATGTACACTATTTACATTATTCGGACTATTGTACTCATCTCTGTCGCCATATTTATTACAACGTTTCGGCCGTTGTACGCTCCTGAAGAAGGTGGTTGGAATGTCGAACTGAACCCTTTATTTCACTCCCTGGGGTAGACTGTTCTAGTTCCACGTGTCATGTCTAATGGATATCAGTTATCTCCTGTTAATTTCCCTCTGAAAGTTCTCCATTGCCTTAACCGGGTATTGAACTCACACTCTTTGGGTCCTGTCACTGGATCTAACCAACGCCTTTATCCACTGTAACATGTGTCCTTGAGGACATCTGCGTATGTTTAAAACTTTATAAATTATTTTGTTTAAAATTAAAAAAAAAAAATGAAAAAAAATTCTTGCAAAATTTCATTCTTCATCAATATTCTTTTTTTTTCTTTTTTTAAAAACAATTGCGATGACAATATATATTATTCATAAAAGCAATTAAAAAATTTTCTAATTAAATAATGTTTTAGCTTTATTGCATTTTTGGCAGAGCAGAATTTCCGTAGTTGGTGTTTCTGTTTTACAAAAAAAAAGTTGGTTTAAACTCACCAAGGAATATAAATATTAAAAGAAGAAAATTTAATTTCTCGAAATTTCATAGCATTAAACAATTAGGTGGAGGTACAGATGGAAAGAATGTTAATAAAGGTCCAACAATAGCCTTTTTCAAGCGTCTAAGTCAAGAGGTTGGCTGCTGGAAGACCTATGCCTGGCAAGAGGACTCTGCACATGTCACACAAGCAGGAGAACTCAGTCATGGCTGTCAGACAATTTTGCCAAACACATCATCCCTTACATCTGGTCACTTAACTCACCAGATTGCAACCCCCTTGATTATTATGTGTGGGGCGAATTTGAGCGAGAGACCAACAAAACTCCTTGTAACACCAAAGATAAACTGAAAACAAGGATTATGGCAGCATTCACCAACTTAAATAAGGAGACCGTCCAAAAAGAGTTGCAGGAGATTCTGAAGTCGTCTGGAGGCCGTGGATGAAACCGTTGGTGTTTTTATAGAACAAATTCATTGTTTAGTATTTCAGATTTTTTGTGTAATTTTGGTAAATATATCTGTTAAAATGACATGTCAGTGTTGTTTTCATTTTTTGTGTGTGTGTGTGTGTACGTCATTTAGGCGACAATTTATCCATCGCACCCTGTATATCTGCTAAAATGAGATGTCCGTGTTATTTTCATTTTTGCGGCATTTAGGCGACAATTTTATCCATCGCACAATGCATATCTGTTAAAATGAGATGTCAATGTTATTTTTCATTTTTGCGTCATTTAGACGACAATTTATCCATCGCACCCAATATATATATATATATATATATATATATATATATATATATATATATATATATATATATATATATATGCGTATGTTTAGGCATCTCGAGGCAGTGTAATGGTTAGCAAGCTTGTCTCGCCTAGAACAATTACGACTGAGTAGTGACTTCGATCCTCACTGGGTGACCCCTACTTTCGGCCTTGTGCCACATCTAAGCTACTCTTGGAAAACCGTGTGTGAGAGAGAATGTGTGAAAGAAAAAAATGTACTCTCGTTCTCGCCCTCTCCCGAAGGTGATTTTTTCGACCGTTGCTTCACTGGACACATTCAAGGGCATACGATGCATGAACGCGGGAGATTTGAAAACAGGAATTTATTTAGGTTTTATGGTAAGTGTAATAAAATATTCCCCACTTTTTTTTATTTTTTTGTTGTATTTTTTTCTTTTTTTTCTTTTCTTTTTCTTTTTTCCTTTCGCAATTCGTCTTTTGCTTTTACCTGAATGTCACGGCAAAACTCAATTCATTGGATTTGTTGAACCTTATCTGAAATTCTCTTCATAAATCAAATTCAGCCAAGGAACGAAAAAAAGATGTTGTAGATCGCTGTATAGACAATCATTCTACCACCCAAAGACTGGATATTTAATATTTTTTTAACAGAAGATCAGAAGGAAACAAAAAGCCAAGATTATATATATATATATATATATATATATATATATATATATATATATATATATTAGTGGAAAATATCCATACATATGCAAAATATATATATAAAAAATACCCATACATGTATATTTTCAGAAAAAATCATTCCAAGAGGCTAGAATCCAGGTAGAACTTAATGGTCTAGGACAGAGTAAGGATATAATAAAAAGGCTTAAACACTAATATTCCATGGTCATAATTTATTCCATTGGAATCGTAAATACGATCCAAATCATCAGACCTACAAATTCAAAATGAAAACAGAAAAAACAACTCCGGAAATCAAAACAGAATTTAGAGAAAGTGTAAGTATGAGGAGGAGGGAGATGAAACCTTAACAGAGAGAATTTTAGGAGATGTGGGGGGAATTTAAAAAATGAGGAGAGAAAGAAAATGTCGACGGATGTCTAATGCATAAAGATACATTTCGTGGTAACATATACACACCATAGACAATTAGAAGTTAGGAGGTCGGGGAAAAAAAAAAGAAAAAAAAAAAAAAAGAAGAGGTGGGGGAGAGAGATGGAACGAAGGAAAATAAAATTGTGTTTACTTAAAGGGCCGCTTTGTAATTGAGAAAATTTGACAAATTAATATCGACTACAGGTTAGAAATCAAATATAAACATATGAAGATGAATATAACGATTGTCTAATTTAGCAAGGAGCAAATATTTCTATGTTCAAAAACACATACTAATACACACAAATACAAGTAGGTACATACACTTAGGCATGTACTCACACACACACACACAGACATACGTGTACACACACATACATATACATATATATATATATATATATATATATATATATATATATATAAAACCTAAAAATATAAAAATATATTCACATATCCACACATACACATATTCCTCTATATTCATATACACACACTTTTCACATACATATACACGCATACACATGCCCCCATGCATATATTCATACATACATACATACATATACATACACATACACATACATATACACATACACATACATATATATACATATTAGTGTTTAAGCCTTTTTATTATATCCTTACTCTGTCCTAGACATTGAGTTCTACCTGGATTCTGTATGTATGTATGTATATATATATGATTGCATATATGTATGTATGTATGTATATATTTATCAAAAATCATATCAGTAATATCTCTCTCTCTCTATATATATATATATATATATATATATATATATATATATATATATATATATATATATATATATATATATATATATATATATATATATATATATATATATATAGTTATTTTCTATAAGCATGTAGAGATGTGGCACGAGGCCAATAAAATGGGGCATCTAGTGAGAATCGAACTCACTTTTCAGTTGTAACTGATCTAGCGAGACAAGCTTCCTAACCATTACACCACGCCGAGGTGTTCGCTCTCTCTCTCTCTCTCTCTCTCTCTCTCTCTATATATATATATATATATATATATATATATATATATATATATATATATATATATTGAAAATATATAAAAGGGATTGTCAGTAAATGCATTACTAATGAATTTACTATAAAAATACATTGAAAATCAGGAAGAAAGGGATTGTCAGTGGTCAGGAATGAATGCAAGCATTACTGATAGAATAGGGTTATTATATGTATAATGTAAATGCATTACTAATGAATTTACTATACTATAAAAATCAGGAAGAAAAAGGGATTGCATTGAAAATCAGGAAATGTAAATGCACTATAGGTAATTTAAAAAAATGGGATTCAGGAAGAAAGTGGTCAATGAATGATAGAATGCAAGCATTACTGATGCATTACTAATGAATTTACTATATAAAATTGTCAGTGGTCAAATGAAAGGATAGAATATATATATGAATTAAATACGTACTAATGAATATAAAAATGGAAAAAATTGTATTACTGATAAATGCATTATATGTATAATGAAAAAAATGCATTGAAAATCAGGAAGAAAGGGATTGTGATGGTTAATATATGT